ATGATTTTTTTTTATAAAAAAAAAGAATTGATTTTTATGTTAGGAAAATAATTAAATAAATTAAATAAAAGAAATTATAAAAGAAAAGAGAAAAAGAGAATGGGCCTGAGAATCAGCAATTTGGAGGGTGTGAATAGTAGCTTCTGGGCCCAAAAAGCAAGGGTCCACGTTGACTTCCAAGATCCCAGGTTGTGCTCATACCTACATGCACGCTTGATTATGTAAATCAAAATAATATGAAACATGGGGGGACCTGGGATCCGAACCCAGGCCCTATAGCCTTTTCCACTCACCTCCACACCAACTGAGTTGGACGCGCGTATTGTACATGAAATAATAATAAACAATAATATGGAAAACAAACAGAATAATCATTATCTGCGCGAAAATTTGAATGGGCTAATCACAGCTTGCCACGCCATCGTCCCTGTCCTCTCTCCGTTGCTAAAAGATTCGGTGAATTTTACCTACGGACAAATGTCCGTAGCTATAACCCCTGCATATCTCAAAATCAAACACAGGCATGATAAATAAAATCTAATGCCATGAATTGAATCTCCTTGGCCTGCTGAGCATTAGGGTGCCCTTCTTGTGGACCAATTTCACCTATATAAAAAGATCCTAAATCTAGACCAAGAACCCTAGCAATGGTGGGTTCTGATATAGCTTCCAAAAATGCAATTAAATGGTGTTGTTAGCTTGCAAATATGCCAGGGATTACAAATATGCTCTTGAAACATGATGAAAATGCCAAAATAACAAGATTCGATTTTTGAAATAAGAGCAAACCGTGGACCACTTACAGTGAGTTCTAGCGCGCGAGGATCCTTGTTTCTGATTGCTATGGCTTCCTTGCACTCCCAAGAAGTGAATGGGATGTCTTATGAGTCCTGAAAACGTCTGGAAGTGTGAAATCAAGTCAGCACTTTTTGGTGAATTTTTCGAGTTTTGTTCTTCCTTTGTGCGCCTCTAAACCCTGTTGTTTCTGGCTGCAATTATTCACTATATACCAAGGGATGAATTAGGTTTACAAATATGATCTCAATCTTTGCCAATTATAATTTGAGATCTTGATTTGATTTCCATAAAATTACTTTCAAAATAGGCAAAAATCAATCTTTTTGTGCCCACCTATGCCTTGCACGAATTGATTCACTTGCTAGCTGTATATGGGACTTGAAATGTGCACAAGATCTTGAAGTTTGAATGATTTGGATTTTTTTCATGATTTGTTTTGATTTAAATTGATTTAATTGCAATAAAAATTTAAAATAAATAGAAAAAATAAGATAAAGACAAATGGGAAGAGCTAGGGCTCGTGTACCATGCTACCAACTCAAAACAAGTGCAAAAAGTTAGGCCCATTTAGCAAAAATTGCAATTTGAGGCACTTTTGACTTTTGGCAATTTTGCAAAAAAGGTCAACTTCCTCAATTTTGACTCTTTGAAGGTGTTCTTGGACTTTTTAGAAATATTGAGATGTCCTCTAAGCAACCCTTTTTGTCTCATCTCAATTGAGTCTTCCATGTTCATGTATGAAGCTTTGGAAAAAAAGTTGTTTTTGTTGACTTTTCAAAGTGACCTATAATGTCCAAATTCATAACTTCTTATGAGTGCATATTTTGAACTTGGGAGCTGAAAATTAATTGTATATAATTGCATCCTCTTCAAAATGAGATTTGGATGGGTCATTTCTCATAAAGTATGAGAAAGTTATGCTTTCTCAAAGTTGAGTTGACTTTTCCTACAAAACCCTAATTTAGCAACTTTTGGGTTTTGATGAATTGGGAGCAATCCTTGATGAATCATGATCAACCTTTGATAAAATGATGAATAATACTTCGAAATGAGGATTTTGACCAAAAATCTTGAAGTTTGACTCTATGTGGGCCACAGTTTACTTTTGCCCTAGCATAGTTGATTTTCAGGCCTTTGAGCAATTGACTGAGCAAACTTCCTCTGCAAGGCTTGAAACTTGACATGGATGATATTGAGAACATATTAGGACAATGGTGAGAATTTGGTATCCCTTGGACTCAAATATATTGATCCAACATGAAACCCTAATTTGGGGTAGACTGCCTTAGGAGAGAGTTTGTATGGTCAATCCTTGGACTTCTTTGAGCAACTTGAGGATCTTTCTTGAAATGTTTTTTTGAGAAATATGGGAGGGAAAATTTTGTGGTACAACAGTATCATAACCCTTTCACTGGGTTAGATCATGAATATCCTTACACCCATCTCAAAAAATTCTATTAGATAGCAGGTTCAATAGGAGCTCCGGAGGAAGATGAAGAACAAATGTTCAAAAGGTTATTTCCACATTCGTTGATCGGTAAAGCTAAGGATTGGTATCTTGACCAACCTAATAACCTCATGACGGATTGGAATAGACTTGAAGAAAAATTTCTTGAGAGGTTTTTCCCACAATCACGTTTCTTGGAATCAAAAACGGCTATATTGGTGTTCTCTCAAGGTGGAACCGAGTCATTGAATGAAGCTTGGGAAAGGTACAAATCTATGTTGGGAAAATGTCCAAGTCATGGTTTTGATTCCATTACCCAAATGCATATTTTTCGAAATGGATTACAACCACAACCAAAACTTTTGTTGGATGCTACGGAGGGAGGATCACTCATGAAAAAGACAACGGAAGAAGCAATGGAAATTATTGAAAGAATGGCAAGGAATGACCATCAAGTCCAACATGATCGAAGTATGGTTCAAAAGAGAGAGGAAGTAAGTGATTCAAGATCAAATGAGGCTCTTTTAGCCCAAAATAAAGTGTTCGCTCAACAAGTGGAAGAATAAAAAATCAAATGGAAAAGCTCTCTCAACAACTAAGAGAAATGCAAGAAAGGTCTAACAATCAAAGTCAACAAATTGTTAGTTGTGAGTTGTGCAATGGTGACCATCAAACCGGATTTTGCCCTCCGGTTGAAGAAGAAGTTAATTACATGGGAAATCAAGATCAAAGATACCAACAAAGGCAAACTTATCAAAATAACCAAGGATATCATCAAAGAAAGAACCAAGGTTATCAACAAGGGTGGAGACAATATGCCAACAATCAAAGTAGAAAAAGTCCTTATCAAACCACAAATCAAAACTCGCAACCTCAAGCTAGAAGTTAAAACTTACAAGACACTCTTGCTCAATTCATACAAGCATTTATGGCAAACCAAAAGAGTAACGAAGCAGCTATCAAGAATTTGGAGACTCGAGTGGGGCAACTAGCCAAGCAATTGGCCGATTAAAATGCAAGTTCATCATTTTCGGCAAACACTCAATCTAATCCTAAGGAGCATTGCAAAGCAATAATAACTAGAACGGGCAGGGTAGTCAGGAATGGTCGTGGCAAATAAGTTGAAATTGAGGAATGTGTTGAAGAAAAAGAGTTTGAATAGGAGATTGTAGTTGAAAAGGAGTTAGTAGAAAAGAAGTTAGTTGAAAAAGAGAAGTTGAGAAGAAATAAGAAGGAAAAATTTGCTACTTTACCGGTTCAAAATTTGCCATACCCTCATGCTCCTACCAAGAAGGATAGTGCTAGGCACTATGCTAGGTTCATGGATATTTTTAAACAATTGCAAATAAATATTCCATTTTCCGAAGCTATGGAGCAAATTCCCAAGTATGCAAAGTTCATGAAAGATATCCTTACAAAAAAAAGAAGATCAACGGATTAAGAAGTTATTATGGTTGATGCAAGTTGTAGTGCTATCATTCAACGGTCTCTACCAAAGAAGGAAAGTGATCCGGGAAGGGTTAATTTGTCGGTTACTATTGGTGATGTTTATGTTGGTAAAGGATTGATTGATTTGGGTTCTATCATTAATTTGATTCCTTTGTCTATTGTGAAAAGATTGGGGAATATAGAGATAAAGTCAACAACGATGACACTTCAACTAGTCGATAAATCCATCACTCGTCCTTATGGTGTAGCTCAAGATTTACTAGTGAAAGTGGATAAATTTTTCTTCCCGGTGGATTTTGTTGTGATTGATATGGAGGAAGACCATGATGCACCTTTGATTCTTGGTCGACCATTCATGAAGACCGCAAGAATGATGATTGACATCGATGATGGTATAATGAAAGTCCGAGTTCAAGATGAAGAAGTAAGTTTTAATCTCTTTGAAGCAATGAAACATTCCAATGATAAAGGAGCTTGTTTTAAAGTTGATGCTATGGAAGAATCCATTTGGGATGTTTCTAGTGAAGTTCATCTTTTAACACCTCTTGAGAGAACATTGAACAATTTTATTCAAGTTCTTGATGATCATGAAGGAAAGGAGTTGGAAGAATGTGTGAAGGAACTTGAAGCTCTAGAAGAAATTCAACTTTGGGACGAAGAAGTTGAGATTTTGAAGAAAGAACCTAAAGAAGAAGAAACTAAATTTGATGAGACCTACATCCAAATTTCTCTTTTATGTAGAAAGAAACTAAATTCCAGAGACCATTTCAATGTCGATAGATTTTAATTCTGCTTTTCCTGTCTAGACAATATCCAAATAAATCTATTCACTTTCTCCATTTTCTTTTTTTAACCAAAAATAAAGCTTTAGTGATTAACAAATAAACCAGGTCAAAGATAACCATGAGATATTACAATCCTAAATTCAATTATTATTATTATTATTATCATTAGCAATCTGACTATCAATCGATGCATCTCCAAGAACTACAGAACATTCAATTGGTGTACTCACACTCATACAAGACAGTGAACATCTCTACAATCAACATGAACCAACCTAGATTATGAAGTCCAACCATGCCTATTTGATAATGAAAACAGAAAATGAAAATTCCAAACTCTCCTTTTAACATTTCATATGGAATTCTGTATTTAGGAGTATGCATTTGTAGTAAGAAGTTTGTCATATTCAATAAATCTAAATAATTGTTTGTCATGAGCCACGAGTTAAAATTCAAAATTAATACTAGAATTACAAAAGGTAAAACACAGAGGATCAATTTTATGTTTAGATCATCTCACACTATAGCAGATTGGGGTCAGTTGCACTTGAAACATCAAATCCAGGAGGTATAAAAATAACATCATCCCATTTTGATGTAGAATTTTCCTGCAAAACTATTTTATTGTTAGTTTCAATTTTCAAAGTCAATTCCTCAAATAGAAAAAAAAAGAAGAAAAAAAATTCCCAAAAAAGAGGGAATAACAACACAATGGGTTTAATGAATCTATTCCCTTGTATTTCATCTTCTGCAGTAACATGACACTCACCTTCATTTCCTTTATTACATCCTCTAGAGAAGCAACCTGAAAAAATAGATCATGGGTAAAGTCTATTGAACCGAACAAAACAAAACAAAACGATCATGCTTTGAGGGGGGACTATTGAAATTTATACCTCTATGTCCCCTTGTCCGGTAGATAATTTTACTCTATTCAGCTGACCAGACGCCTTTTCAATTGAGTTTTCTAAATCCTCCTGTAAGAAATTCAAAATGCAAGGAGCGTAAAAATTAAGCTTCATTTATAACTACCTAATGCAGGCACATTGACCACACCTTTCTAAAGAAGAGTGGACGATATCTCTTTGTCTGGTTCTTCAATATCAAACTTCGGGACTGTAACAAACCAATAAAGAATTCAAAACACTAATTCACAGATTCCAGCAAGAAAATAAATGAAGTGCAATCACAAATTATGGTCCCTAATATATTGGCAATACATTTGCGCAAAACAAGTTCATAGTGTTTTGTTAAAGAGTACTAGACATTTATTTTCTTCATACTACAATCGTCTTAAATCCATTAAACATTAAACATATAGTACATTTCAAATCCAAGACCTTCAAACATCTAAAGGAAAAGGAGTTTTTTAGGTCACCCTAGGTCTGTATGCAACTCATGCATGTCAAATCAATTGCTACAGTTTTGGTACATATCATAATAAGTGAAAGCAAAGATGCAGGACTGAAATAGAAGAATTGCCTACTGAGGGTTAGTAATTGGTGTCAGAGATTTCCAGTTTTAAAGTCACGGATAACCATGGTTTATGAATTCGTGAATGGGAGAGGCTAAAGGTGTGTGCCGGCAGGAATTTCTGGCTAGCAATGATTTAAAATAATTTCCGACGGTCTATATTTTGAGCTGCATGGATAAAACACTAGAAAAAAATGAAAACTTTCTTTTAAAGAGAGATTCTTGTATCTTTATAACTTTTAAATTTAAAGAAAAAAGACTGATAAACTTAAGAAATAAACCAACATTGCATCAGTCAAATCGGACTAGGATCACTTAAGCAAGGTCTAAAATTCGAGCTTAATGGATGGGAAAAAATGGTTACAAAAAAAATAGGCTTTGGAAATAAAAGTTTTCATAAGTTTATATTTTTAGAATATTTCAACAAACATCTGGTTTTTTTGATGACCAAGCCTTATGCGTCACTAAGAGGAACACAGCTTTGCTCTTTAGGAGGGGGTGCTAATAATATGTTCCTTGAGGGCAGATTAAGCTACTTTATGAACCATATGTAACTTTCACACTTATCCTCAGCCAGGGAAGGATAGTTGCGACCCCGACTTTGAGTGTGGATATCCACTCCCGACTACTTAGAAATATAAATCTTATGTAACAGTGACAATAAGATATGACTCAATGACAATTAAGACCACCACAATACAACAGAAAGCATATTATAGGAACTGGAAATCAGTGGTGCATTGAGAACTATTGTATTTCACAAAAGCAGGAATTCCCTGGTAAAATTATATTAAAGTGATACCAGTGCCAAAATAAAATATCACAGAGGGTATATCACTATATCTCACTCTCACTTTTTCTGATAAGTTGATTATTTCCCCTGTTCAACTTAAACAAAATGAATTGCACAGTTTGTGTACACAAGAAAAAAAATACAAATACTACTTAGAGAACTTCACAAACGACCAGTCAGCATCGTCCGTTTACTAATGCTTCTCAAATGAAGACCAAGTCAACCCCATAAGTTTTAAAACTAATGGCTTTTCATAGTTACAATCATGTGCTTTTGATATAAAATCATTTTTCTTCTCCTTTTTTCTAAAACAATTCCTTTTGATTTATTTATATGCATGTCCTTAATCATCCACCAAAATAAAACCGAAATCCACCAAAAAAAAAATGCATGTCCTTAATCTTTCACTCAATTTTACATGGTTTTGCTTCTACCTAAAAACAGATAAGCGGTATAGAAGCTCTTGATTCCCTGTCCCGAAAAAATGGACAAGGCGGTCATTGTTGAAACAAGGACCCGAACCCCAAATAAATCAGTCATTTATTCTTTCTGTCTTTTTCCCCGGATTAATATTTTATATAGTATTAACACGTTGCACACATTCCTTGAATCCCCTATAATTAGATTGCTTGCAACACATGAACTAAGACACAAATGACATATCCAGAGTTAGATATATGAGAGAAGAACCTGGAAAACTGGAACACCAAAAAAGTCACTGGAAGGAATACCAGATTTTTCCCTCTCCTGCAAAGCACAAGCATGGGCAAACATTACTGTATAGCTCAAATGACAAGCAACAATCTAAGTAGATACAGGCAAGTTTTAAGTACGCATGACAAAATTTTAAACATCGCACCAAACTGCTGCAAATAGAATCACTAGAATACCAGAGTAATCAAGCTCAACTCTGGGTATTTGTGAGAACAAATCAAAAGTCTTGGTGAGTTTCTTGCTAAGAAGTTTTCTATCCACAAACTAATGTTCTCCCCAAAAAAAAAATTGCCATCATGAATTACGTATGAAGTATTAACAAGAAACTAGTTCAAAGAGAAACTTCTTTTACCCTCTTCCACCATAAGGTGGCATCATAATCAATCAAAATTCCAAGAATATCATCGGATCTACGCAGTAAGATAACAAAAAGAATAAAGCGTGAAGAAATCTTAGGTTTTTATATTAGGTCAAACTCATCTTATAAAACCGACTTGTAAGATGAATGTTTCTCACTTTATAAACTATTTCCATGCCGCATCTCTTTTCAACGAGGGACTTAGGTTTTTTTTCAATACCACTGTTGGACTTAGTATGTGGATAATTTGGTGGGCGGCCTGAATAGATAGGCACTAACTATTACACATTGATGTCTGACGAAAATCCAGTACTTTGCAGTTATTTACCTGATGAGTTGTTGAATATCAAAATTAAGTTACAATAGCACTTTGCATTCGACATTGTTTCAACCACACAAAATTAGAAGGTAAAATAAATGAATTACAAAAAGGAAACCTAGTAATCCCAAATACAGAAATGAACTGAAATGAGAGGCATACTCACTTGCAGTGCATTCTTAACTTGAGAGAATTCAGGTATCAATCTGAACGCAACACCATTTACTTTGAGTTGAAATACCTAAAAAAAACGTGACAAACAAGTTTCAAACATCAAAACTAAATAAATGTAATTGAAAGAGAGAAAAAGAAAGAGAAAGTGTATGAACGAACCTTGTTGAGAGCAACGGGAACGACTTTGGAACCTTGAGGCATGAGAGGGTCAATAGCGGTTACTTGATGAAGTAACGCTTCAGCGTCTTCTTTATTGAAGCAAAAGAGCCCCAAATTTCTACCGGTGGAAGCACCAGATACCAACATGAACTCGTCTGCGGCGTTGCTGAGAGCGTAAACGGGAACTCCCTCCAGACGCTGCTCGATTGTCTCCGCCGTCAATGGCCTGATTGGGGCTATGCGGGCCCACGGAGGAGATTTCGGGAAACGGTTTAGGTTGGTGGTTAGGTTTTGAACCAGGCCGTTGCAGCGGGTTTGGAGTTCCGATAGGGCTTTCTGGAAATTGTCCAAGTTCATTTTGCTGTGTTTGATTGCGGTTAGTTTGCGGTTGTTGCAGAGAAATAGGGGATATCGAAAGTGTGTAAGAGGGTTTAATTTGAATGGATTGATCTCAATTCAACGGTTGAGATCGTGTACGGATCAACTGTGTATTGCAAATACGGAGGATGGAAATAGATTAGACCAACATACGTGAGTCTATAGTCTATTTACTTATTAGGTTATGTTTAGGTTTTCTTAAAACTTTATTTAATTAAATATATCAAACTTAGACTATTAAAAATTTATAAAAACTTATAAATTGACCTATATTTTTTCATATATATTAAAAATAGATTAAATAGTATGACCTATATATATATTAATTTTTATAAGTTTTTTAAATAATATAAATTAATTGAAAATTTTAATAAAAAATAAATTTTTAAATAGATTTTCAAATCAGATTAAATTTTTAAAAATATCAAAAATAACATAATAAATCATGGATCAAATTCGGATTCTTTAAATCGTAGATCAACTCAAACTTTATAAATAATTTTTATTTAAAATACAGTTAAATACAAATAAATTAGTTATAAATTTAATATCTCTTTATTTTCAAGTTTCTTTAAATTTTAATTCCTCTACTTTAAAATTTTCTTATCCATAAATTTTATCTTAATTCTGATTGGGATTATTTATAATTAAATATCTTTTAATTATTTTAATGAATAAATTAATATTATTTAATAATAATTTCTGAGTTTTTTTTAACAAGTTTTATAATATATTTTTTTATTCAGAGTTCAAGGGATGTATAAGCTTTTTAACCACTAAAATAGTTTCAAATTAAAACGATGTGGGACTAAATAATATAATTTCATATGAAAACCACTGTGTTCTCACCATTTTATCATCAATATATATATATATATATATATATATATATATATATATATATATATATATATATATATATATATATATATATATATATATATATATATATATATAACTGGAATGAAAAGTTGTGGTGATACTTACTTGGAGCATTCTATTAAATTGAGTTTTTTATTGATCAAAGTTATTAGTTGTTTTTATATGATAATAAAGATGTTACATGTCCCCATTATGTATGTTGCAGGTCCCAGTTTGTTGCAGGTGTATTGTTTTCTTCTATGAATTTCACATAGCAAATACATCAATAACTCTAGTTTGAGATATTTCATATTTTTCTATGGATAACATATATGTGATTGTATCTGATCAGAGTTGATTGTTAAGGTCCACGAGTTTTACGTCGAGCAGAGGTTGAAAGTGAGATGGAGGATACCTGCAAGATACTCTGATGCCAAAGTGAGATTCAAAATAATGCAAGCAAGTGAGAGTAAGAATGTTCAATACCTGACCCTCTCAAGTGAGAGCGTATTTATAGCCTTCAGCGTTTGGCCAAGGTCTCCAATATTGGATCACGATGAGGCCCAATAAAGAAGACTGTCAGGGCTTACGTGTGTATGGAGGCCAACACATGGCCTCCCCTCTGGTTGACTGTCTTGAGAAAGCAGGAGCTGACGATGATAAGGGCACGTGGGCGGCGTTCCCTAACGGATATATGAGGAGTCGCCCAACGGTGCCCAACTTGGATTGTACGCTTTTGGGCCTTGTGCAAAGGTGTTAGATTGGGCCTCCCCAACAGTGGGACAAGCAATGGCCCAGTCCAGATCAGGAGCCTCCCAAGTTATTTCTCTTAGGTGAAAGAGTGATGACTTAAGTTCAACTTTACAGTCGGAGAAAATGCTCGAGTAGGGAGATCGTAATCCTCTAACGGGGATAAATTATTCACCCAAGTCGGGGATGATTTGTTTAACCGTGTCAGGGACTTCGTAGACGCGTGAACTGCGAGGTCTACTAGGTCAGTTGTTTCAATTGGTGCGGGGAGCTTCCCTGGGCTCTTCTTCAATTCCCTGTCTTCTAGGTGTCGCTACGATGTCGAGCGTATTTCGTCCTCGTGAGCTGTTTATAGTAAATATGCACGTATGCATGCTTTAGTCATGATGTCGAGCACTTCGTCGTGTGAGACGTCTTCGTCGTGCTCGTGTGTAACGTTTCTCGTGGAACTCGGGGATGTGTTCTTCTTTTAAGGATGGGCACGTGGTTGCTTGTTGCGCCACATGGCTGTCATTTTGGGTGTCATCTTTTCATGGGGAGTTCAAAAGGCCCAAACTAATGATGACCCTTCGTATGCAACCTCGTGGGGTGTGAGCCATCTATAAAAAGGGGACCCCAGGGTTTCATTTGTTATTTCTCAAGCTTTCTTTTGCAATCTTCCTTGTTCACGCGTGGATCTTCTCCTCTCAACTTCTCTTCAGATTTTTTCCAAGTATCCTTCATCCAAGTAAGTCATATCCTCTTAATAACACGTTTCTTTAGCATTTCTAGATTAAACACCTAGTTTTTGCCTTGACTAGATGAATCTTGGATGAACATTCACGAGCTCTGCGATGAACACTCATGAATGTTCATTGAAGTTCATGATAAAGGCTAATTTTCATGGTGTCGAGGACAATTTCCCCGGATAGCGGAGCTAATCTGGGTAGTATGTTTGTTTGACTGAATGTCCCCGAGCTTGTTTCTGCATAACATTCGAGGGCTTGGGTCGAAGTTCGTTCCTCAACGAATTCATCGCCCTTTCACTTGATTTGCGATGGAAGGGTGAATTTGATGACGTCGAATTCACTATTTCCCCTGTTTTTCAGGTATAATGGTGCATTTCGTCGAGAAAAACATTGTGCCCTCCAACCATGAAGATGAATCCAACATCGAGGAGGACTCTTTGACCTGGGTCGCACCTGAACTAGGAAATAAGAGGCCATGCTTCTCGCACGATGCATCAGACGCGTTTAACTATCCGGAGGTTCGGGCTGAGGGAGCGCCCGCCAACTGGATGCTATAAATCCCTCACTGTAACCGGAGGATATGCTCGTCGTATCCGGGCAAGCGATTCCCCATGTACGAATTTGCTTTCAAAGAGGCGGGGATGCATTTTCCCTTCAATGGCTTCCAGGTTGGGGTTTTTTAGTGGCTACAATTGGCGCCCTCCTAGCTTCATTCGAATGCGCTTGCGTTCATGCAGGCATTCGAGCTCGTCTACCAATATCTTTAAATCGGTGCAACGTTGCCCCTCTTCTTCCGTATTTTTCACTTACAAAGGTTGTCCATTGGAGGAGGATAGGCTTGGGTTTCTTTCAAGCTGTTTGGGAAACTTTTTTGGCCATACTTGGAATCTGTCTGCCATTTTAAAGAGAGGTACTTCGTCGTGAAGCCTCTAACGGATGCGGCCATAGATTCCTTATACAATCGAGTGGAAGAGATGGAAGATGGTCGGCCAGTAGTCCGCCTAATGGACATATTCCCGCTCAAATGGTTGTGGAAACATTTCGAGCAAAGGCCCGAATACTATGCGGTAAAACCTGAGGATTTAGACGCGCATGATCAACCCTCCTATGAGAAACTAGCATCCTATGTGAATAGTTTCTCCACGACAAGGTGTGTAGATGTAAACAACAACCTCCTCTTCGACAATAATAGGGAGTATCTCCTTGTTAAGAAGTTTATCAATACAAAGGCTTTGCTTGAATGTTCTTCAGACGAGGAAGCCATGAGGCTTTTAGGTAGGGGATATGGTCACAGTCTTATTTTCATGTCTTCCTTTCGTGCAGGGACATGCTCGCGATATTTGTCTTTGTTTTATCTCATGACTGACAGTTTCCTTTTGATTGCAGGTCGGATGGAATCCCTTTCCGAGCGTTTCTTAAAGCTGAGGTCTAAGAATGCTTCTACCTTGGAGCCAAAGAACAGGGTCACCCAACTCCAGGAGCATGCCAAATCTGCTGCCCGTGCAAGTGGTTCCCCATCTTCCTCAAAGACCCAGGTTCCCCCTTCTGAGCCTTTGGCAAAGAGGAATCGCGCGGAGGAAACCGAGCGCAATGTGCTCGAAAGTGATAAGGGGAACGGGGAAGTCTTCATGTTGCCTCCCTGTTACCTAAACCATGACATCTTCAGCGGGGAAAGCTCTTTAAGTGTTCACGAGGAAGAGAGGGAGGCGATTTTGTCCGAGGATAAGGAGATCCGACGGAAAAACTTAGCGGAGGATGTGGTTGTTGTGATGAGAGTGCTCGAGACGGGCTTGATGCTAAATGATGAGTGTTGTACCCCAAAATTTGCCCTCCCATATTCTCCAAGATTTGTCAAGTCAAGGTCACAAAATTCCCCAAGGGTTGTGCAGCTCAACTGTCTCCTATACAGTCAAAACTAGGGTTTGAGTTCTGATCAAGAAATTGAAGGTTTCAAAGGCCCAGTCAAGTCTCATATGCTCACAAAGATGGTCAAGTATCCTCATGTCAAGTTTCAAGGCATTCAGCTCAAAATTGCACAGTCAAAACCCTAGATTGCACTACAGTCAACTGTAGGGGCAAAATGGTCATTTGACAGTCAAAAGTTCAAATTTTTGGTCAATATATCATTTTGAAGCCACAAACATCATTTGATCAATGCTTGATCATGATTCTCAAAATTTGGCTCAGAAATCATCAAAGATGCAAAAGTTGCTATATTTGGACAGCTGAAAAAGTCAACTGAAATTGACCAGGGCATAACTTTCACATGGATTATCAGAAAAATTCCATCCAAAGCTCATTTTGAATAGAAAGACATTTCCTACAACTCATCTTCATATTCCAAGTCCAAGAAATGCTCTCACAAAAAGTTATCAATTTCAACATTATAGGTCATTTTCAAAAGTCAACAAAAAGGGACTTTAAGTCAAAGGCCATAACTTGATATTGGTAAATCAAAATGACATGGGACCAAAGGCATTGGTTAAAGGACTCAAAGACCTTTCCAAAATGTCCATGAACATGTGAAAAGCTTAAAAATTGAGCAAGTTATGCCTTGTGGAAGTTGGGAAATTTTTGGGAATTTTGAAAAGTCAACAATGGTTCAAATGACCTAAAAATGTAAATGGGCCCATTTTTCTT